CTATGTGGGAATTACAGATACTGCTTCGTCGATCTCTGTGCAGAGAATTCGCATGCAACTGATCCAGCCTTAACGTAGCGAGAGAGCGTGCTTTCAATCATCAAGCAAAAACACAAGCGGTGATAATAGTGTGTCCGTTTTCATTCACGTTGTCCATTGCTGATTATTTCTTCAAAATGTCACTGTATGCCTAACACATTATGAAAATGTGTACCCTAACCGCCATTTCACTTAAGTTTAAACAATTATTAGAGGGTGGTTTTAGCCGATTTGGGTAATTACTCTGACCAACTTGTGGAATATTTGATGGAATTGTTAGGATTCAAACCCATACCAGCAAAGGAAAGGCCGAAGTACAGCCGACGCTCTAGCCAACTGAGTTACGGGGCCATCACCGGTAGCCGTGTGCTTAATTACACTTCGGTCAAGTTACCAATCCAGCCTACTGCAGAGTACGGTATCCGCTTATTCTGATACAGCAAGGTCAAACTGTCCAAGCAGGATTTTCTAAACAATCAATCCAAAGTCTAGGCACAATCAATTGGTGGGGGATTTGCGCATATTTTAGTAATTAAGATGGTCCATTTGGGAAAACTCGGTGGCTTGCTACTTATTAACTGAGTGAGGTAGAAATCTTGTGGATACTAAATTGGCTAACTAGGAAATCTTAAACGGGCCCTCAGCTTGCTGCAGCATAATTGATGGACTTCATACGTTTTAGTAGGCTGGGCGGTGTTTAACTAATGCATAAATATGAATATGGACAGTACGGCACACAGGTCGTTTAAAATGCCAAAGTTTGCGAAAGATTGATGAGCACCCACAAACAAGTATTACGGCATGAACGAAAACCTAGAGCATATAATGAACAACCCCAGGCAAATTTGTTTCTCAAAAGAAATGCAAAAAAGGCTAAGTGTTTGTTGAGAAAAATGAATTTTTCCTAATAAAACTCAAATTTATCAGACGTTAATAATAACTATTAAGTAGAACAAAAAATTTAACTCTTTTCTTTAACTAAATGAATAACCTTACCACTTTCTCTTTATATTGGAGTATTTTCCACCATATTGGATTACTTCTATGCTCTTCTCTAAGCTTTCGAATGCAAAAAGAGTGAATGAATTATAGTACATTATAATACATTAAAGTGCATTTCTATCTGATTTATATTTGATAAAACCTGCTTTTAATTTACCCGTCACGATACTATAAAGACAGTTTTGCGTCCATTCCAAATATTTGATGCGGCACTACAAAATATTTCAAACTATTTTGTTTGTGCAATTTTTGGCGAAAAACCTCACAGTTTAGCAAAAAATAAATTTTAAAACTGAAACTGTTCCTTGTTTCTGAAAATAAATGTAATTCCTTAAAATTGGCTTCACTTGAATTTGAGTAACTTTGGAGTAAATTTTCCGGTTCCGCAAGGGACATTTTTTACACCTTTCTTATTTATTTTGGGGCTCTCTAATAGTATAATGCATATTAATACATGCTTGGTTCTGACGTACTTAATAGCATAGGAAATTTCTTCGATTTAATGCTTTTCCCGATAAAGCCCGTATTAATGCCTATAGCCCTCAGTAAACTCAAGTAAAATGGCAGTTTTCCCAAATAACTAGCCCTTTCAGGATTAAATCCACTCAGTTGATCAAAATAAACGGACAAAATATATGCTAAACTACCCAATCAAATTTCGCCATGACCTTTGCACGAGGTTATTAACATAATGGAAGATTTTATCAGATATATGTCGACAAAAAACGAAACAAATTGAAAGAAATATAGGTCAAGCTGTATGCATACGGGAGCATAAGGAATATCCGCCAAAATGTCAGCCTGTCTTCCAGTGTACTTGTTTTTACAATTTACCTGAAAAATGCTCCTAAGACTATAACAGCTAAACATAAGGCATTTCACAGTAGGCAGAATGAGTAATCTAAAAATAACATCCGATAAGATTTATCTTAGGCTTCAGTAGCTTTATCCAACCTCACACATGTGTTCATATAAAGAGATTGTCAAACCATCACGACATTCACTAAAACCACCAGCTGGGAATCGATGTTGAACGAAGAAGAACAACATTTAAAATCT